CTGTACCAGATATGGATAATCTTCTACTGAGAGCAATATTTATCCATAACGAAGTACTAAATGGATAAGCTTATTATACCCGATATAGATAATCTTCTACCGGGGGTAATGTTTATCCATAACTGAGTACTGAAAAGATAAGCCTATTATACCCGGTATGGATAAACTTNGAAGTGATAAGCTTCTTCAAGAAGCTTATTTCCAATATAGTACTAAATAGATAAACATATTTACGGTGGAGTCCCATATGGATAAGCTTCTTCAGGAAGCTTATTTACAACGGAGTACTAAATGAACATCCATAATATAATATATTTATAACAGGAAAGCATTTCTTTCTCGGCCTTTTGGCTAAGATCAAGTGTAGTATCTGTTCTTATCAGTTTAATATTTGATATGTGTGTCATTGACTCACATGATATTAACTCAATTTTTAAGGGGAAGGTCCATCACGATAGCTTGCTATTTTTTGAATTTTCCCCATTACTCATGTTAAATTTTCTCTAGGCCAATAAGTTATTACAATAACAATCCTAGTATAATTTCACAAGTAAAAGGTGAAATAAGTTATTATTTAAATTAATTTGTCATACAAATCAAAGTATCTTAAACAATCAAAAGGGTACACCAAAATGAAATCATCTACTGTTAATATACAAAGAAAATAATCTAAATAACCAAAACTAAATGAAGTTTCGGCAAAAGGATTCACCACAAGAATTTTTTAAGGGTTTAGTCATCCTAATATTACTTTGGGAAATTACCAGCCATGTCCATTTATAAGTAGCTCATTATAAAAATTGGCCAATTGATAAAATATTACTAATATTAACCAAATTAGCCAATTAGCTATTTGTAGCAAAAAAAATATTAAATTTTTGCTTTGTTTTGAGTGGGTGTTATTAGAATAGATTGGGCACAACTTAAGGAGCTTGAATCTCAATTTTGGGATGATTTGGTGAAGTTTTGAGGTGGTTTTAATTGAAAATTCGAAGTAAAAGCTGAACATGAAAAAAAAATGATGTGTATCACACTGTGTATCATTTGTGTATCACATATGTATCATATTTGTATCAATTATGTATCGCATGTATATCCATGTATACCTGTGTGTGAGATACATGCGTGATACATGTTTGATACGTGTGTCGCAGAAGACTTTTTTGAACTCGATTTAATTACGAATTTTGATACAAAACCAGTCCAAATCACCTCCAATCTTCCTCAAATTTTGTATATTGACTTATCTATATATTTTCAATGAATTTCAACTATACCCATTGAAAAAGTTCTTTTTTTGTTTAGATTTTTGGAATATTGTATAGATTTTTGTATTTCATCACCTTATTTGCTACCCCGTCCATGAAATTTCCTTTCCGTCTTGGATGCAATGTTGCTAATCACGCTTACAAATATGGAAGGTGATNTATCAAATCGACTCCAGGTCGTTGTGAGAATCCTTGTGCAACAAGGCGAGCTTTGTATCTTTCAACTTNGATGCAATGTTGCTAATCACGCTTACAAATATGGAAGGTGATTTTTGCATGTGATTCTAAGAACCCTATTATTTGGTTTTTTTCAATTTTTGTTGGCTAATTTTGGTAAGTCTATGACTGATGGCTAGAGGTTGGTAAGTTGAGATTTATTTGGGACATTTATATAAGTTTCCATTACTTTAACCCAAATACGTTTAGTTTAGATCCCAGAGTCTAATGAGATCTGGTAAGTTAATGCTGGTATGTTCGTATCCGTCAATCCTAGTGTTTTAAATTCTTTTAGCACATTTCCTTCTCATGCAAGTCCACATCTTCAAGTTAAACACAAAAGCAACAGATGGAGGAGGCTTGGCACGGGCAAAATGGTAAAAACTTATATATATATATATTACTATTTAGAAGCGGGAGTTAAGGGCATGTTCGTCGTCATGCTTGCTGTTCAAAAGGGTAATTTCGGGATTCCGTTTAAATTGGACATTTTGGAGAGTTGTGCATAAATGTATGCGTGTCAAAATTTGCATTTTGGGGTGACATTTTGCCCTTGGTTTAGCCTTTTATCACTTTAGTTTACCTTTTAGAATTTGTAATATCAATTTTTTTTAAGACCTTTTGGGTAATTCAGTGTTTACCATCCCAACACATGTCACCGTATTGATCTTCTTTCTTTCTCTCTCTTCTTTCTGTTTATCCTTATTCTCTGTATCATCTTTCCTTCACTCCAGTAGAAGAATCGTCTTCAACTTCATATGTTAGTCGGAAGTGGTTGGACTCTTCGTCGTCCTGCTTCCGATTTACAGTTTGGTCCCTGTTTTGGATCAAAAGTCAGGGTATTTTTGTCACTCTGCTCACTTCGTATTTTCTGTAGCAATCTTTTCACTTTGTGCGCTCTCCGATACGCGCCTTTTCCGTCAACGTGGAAGACAAACCAATTCTTGCTTCTGCTGCTGTCAGCTGTTTCTCCAAATGTGTAACACTTGTATTTCCATGGATATCCGATTAGGGGTGACGCTAATAATATCTGCAATAGCTTCTGTTCTGCTTTGGATTTCCTGGCTTACTGCTCTGTTCCTTTTAGTGTCTCTACTTGCTGGCTGGAACAAGTGAGTACTTCTTGCTTCGTTTTCTACCTCCTCCTTCAGATTTTATATGTTTACTCGCGAACTTTCCTACTATATGCAACTTCGTCGAAAAATTTAGTGTTATCCAAATTACCAAGAAAGAGATCTTCTTCATTCTGTTCTATATTACCCAACCTCATGTTCTATTTGCACAATCGTTTAACTCCATAGTGTTGCGTTTTTATTAAGGGGTGTGAATGAGAAATGAAAGAGGCACCTTTTGGATTGCACCTCTCCATCTCACCCTTCTTTTGTCTATAAATTTAGAGGTTTGACCTCATTTTTTAGATATAGAAAAATCTAAAATCTTCTCCCCTCTTTTCTATATTGTTGCATTATTTTTTAAATAAATACAAGTGTCAAGTGTGATTTGCTCCGTTTGTTGAGTTCGCTGAAGTTCTGTGATTTGAAGTGCCGCTGTCACAGAATAGTTATTCTGTTCTATTTTGGGAGGAATTAATCTGTATACCTTGGGCAACAGTGAGAGGATTAAATTCCTTAAGGACACACTGTGCATTCAGTGGGCTCGGAATAATTTTACGATTTGTTTATTGAACTAACATTTGTTTGCTTCTCTGATTTTGAACACAGTAATACCAACAATCTTAAGGAATTTAATGTTTCTGTGTTTGTTTTTCTTTTCTGGCAAAAGTTGGATTAATTGGTGATCTAACAATATAATAGGTGTCATTTCGGAGACGTCACTACAAGTGGTCTCACTGGACGTTACCTATCGCAATTGGTTTACATGGATTTCCAAAAGCCTGGCCGTTGCTAAGGTTGTTTTCTAATATTAAGAAATTGCATCTTGATATGGAACAATTAGTATAAGATGCAGATGGTAATTGCCTTACCAATGGAAAGAGAAGTTTCAAAGATATTGCCACTAATTACTGCCTATCATTAAAATTGGATATGACTGAAGGATCATACTTTATGAATTTTCTGGTTAGTAGTGTTACTATTGAAAGGCTCTGTCCATTGGTTTTTCGAACAAGCAGTCGAATGTTTCATGATTTACTCCAACAAAGGATAGATACCAATTATCTGCGGCAGAATAGCCAATTCAATGGATATTTCACGTTGCCTTCAGAAGGAGTTTCAGAAAAAGGAGAAAGATTCTCCAATTAACTTTGTTTCTCCTAATTTAATTATTATGGATGCAAGTGTTTTGCTGAAAAGTCACAGCACAACTACAGAGCAAAACAGTGAAGATGTCGTTTCAAGAAGAAAGTGATAATAAATCGGGTTCTACTTTCTTAACTCTGCTTTTTAGTAATTTAAAAATTTCTACCCTTTGTGTTTATGATGAAATGCAATTGATATAAATATTAGGGTAGATATTTATTACATGATGATCTCATATAACATATTTAGAATTATATGCATGAGTAGGAATAACATATCTTTACGATTAATTTGTTATTCTTTTGCCCATATGAAAAACTATTAGTAGTTGATATAGAATTTGGTAACATGCATAAATTATATGGAAGATTATTTTCAATGTGGTAAGATATGAATTAGGGTTACATTGATACTTGAAAGTATTCTTGAGATCATGAATATAATATATGTAAAGATGAACATATATGTGTTTGATTAGAGAAATTGATCAAACTGTTTAAAGTGTTATAATGGTTTAGTTGGAAAACCATTTGGAAAGGGAATTAAAATTCTCGTGATTTTCTACATACATTATGGAGAATAAAATCTTCGTGATTTTCTACTCCTGCTTCGAGATCAAAATCTGCGTGATTTTTTACTCGTTCATTGAGATTAAAGTCTTCGTGACTTTCTACTCATTTGTCAGAAATTAAAGTCTAAGTGACTTTATACTCGTTTTGGAGATTAAAATCTTAGTAATTTTTTACTCCAATTTATTATTCGGTTTGAAGATTAAAAACTTCACCGTTTATTAGATCTAGTTGTATCAGATGTTACTCGATTTGAAGAGTAAAAACTTCACCGTTTATTAATTCTGAATGTGTCAGATTAGTTTGAAGATTAAAAACTTCACCGTTTATTAGATCTAGTTGTATCAGATGTTACTCGATTTGAAGAGTAAAAACTTCACCGTTTATTAATTCTGAATGTGTCAGATTAGTTTGAAGATTAAAAACTTCACCATTTATTAATTCTGACTCTGTCATGACACAAACAATTGTTCTTGTAATGTAATAGGGGCGTCGAATATGAATCTCCTTTTGAAGAAATATGTTTGGAATGTGGTATTATTTATCAAACGACGACCCCTTAGTCACCGAAATCTAATGGAATTGCGGAAAGAAAGAGTAGAACATTAAAGGAGATGATGAATGTCTTGTTGATAAGTTCTGGTTTACGCTAGAACTTGTGGGGAGAAAGTTATTCTTACAACTAACCGAATACTCAGTCGAGTTTCCCATAGAAAGACGTAATCCATTCCATATGAAAAATGGAATGAAAGGAAGCCCAACTTAAATATTTTAAAGTGTGGGGGTTGTTTCGCTAAAGTGCGAGTTCCTAAACCCAAAAGCGTAAAGATTGGACCGAAAACCATTGATCGCGTTTTCATAAGATATGCAAGAAATAGTAAGGCATATCGTTTTCTGATTCATAAATTAGAAAATCCCAACATTCATATTCATACGGTAATCGAATAAGATAATGCTGCTACTTCCTTTGTACTAGATTTTCTGACATTCTTGTTAGAAAGTGAGCCTCAAACATTTAAAGAAGTAATGTTAGAAAGAGGTAGTCAATAGTGACGTAGAATCCATATTAAGTAATCATACTTGGGAATTTGTTGATCTTCCTCCAGGAAATAAACCTTTGCGTTCTATGTGGATTTTCATAAAGGAATTGAAAGTTGATGATACTATTGACAAATATAAGGTAAGATTAGTTGTCAAATGATTTAGACAACGAGAAGATCTTAATTGTTTTAATACATACTCGCCGGTAATGAGGATTACATCTACTCGGGTGTTAATAGCGTTAGCCGCGGTGTATGGCCTTGAAATCCATCAGATGAACTTCTTAAATGGAGATTTGGAAGAATAAATTTATATGGAACAACCTGAAGGGTTCGTGGTTCTTGGAAAGGAAAAAAAGGTGTGTCGACTTGTTAAGCCACTTTACAAGCACCCAAACAATGACATGTGAGATTCAACCAAATAATATTGTCAAATGGTTTAAAAAATTAATGAGTGTAAACAAATATGTTTACGTTAAGAATACTTCAAATCATATAGTTATTATTTGATTATATGTAGATGATATGTTGATGAGATATTTAAAATGCAGGGGCTTTTAGCTTATGTATGACAAAAGCCAATGTTAGACATAATATCTAAATGATATAATTTTTGAACCCCATTGATATGGTAGTTAGTAAATTCATCAGTTGTTTAGTCTTAATAAAGACTAGTTGATGAAACTACTAATTCAGAAGTTGGTCACGTGCCTTTCTCGAAAGATCATTTTCTTTATTGAAAATTTATATTGTTTAGTTCTTTTATGAAATGATATCACTTTGAAGGTTGTGATTTTTCATAGAAAGATACGTCTGTACGTTTTTGTATGGACATGACCGTTCATGAACGAATGTATTAATACGTTGGTCTATAATGAGGTGAACCAACCGATGAACATGACCAAAATCCATTGCAAGTTGGATTTGTTTCATGAATGGAGGTGCTATAATTTGCATATCATATAGGCGTATGAATAAATAACATACAAATGCTTGAAAATGACGGAGTGATTGATAAATGTGTTATATATTAAAAGGTTATGGCCACAATTGATGTCAATTATTCCAACTATTGTTATAATATATTATTGCTACATTAAGTGTAGTCAATAATCTGATATGCAATAGAATGTCGAGACATATTAGTCTACGACATAATGAAGTTCGCATTGAACTGTCAGGACAATAAAATGAGTTTTGAAATATTTAAAATATATCCTTGATTATGCTTTGCACTATAATAAGTATCCCGCGATAATGGAGGGGTATAGTGATGCAAATTAGATCACTGGTTCAACCGATTCTAAACAGTCGGTGAAGGAGCAATGTCTTGGAAATTGTCCAAACAAATGTACATTGACTGCTCTACAGTGGAGGCTGAGTTTATAGCCTTAGACAAGGCCGACGAAGAAGCTGAATGGCTCCGAATTTCTTGGAAGATATTCTATATTGGCCCAAACCTTTGGCACCTATATGTATACATTGTGATTGTCAAGCGACAATAGGCAGGGCAGAGAGCGTAATATATAACGGAAAAACTCGTCACATTCGACAGAGACACAAGACCGTTAGACAACTACTCTCTAGTGGTGTGTTATCACGATTGACTACGTAAAGTCAAGAGATAACATGTCTGTCACACCTCCTTTTTGCGCGCCCCGCCCCGAAGGGTTAAATGCGGGGGTGGAGTTTTTCCAATTTAAGTGACAATATTCGAAATGAGATTATTTATTTAATTCAGAGTCGCCACTTGGGAAAGGTTTGGCTTTTGGTGTCCCAAGTCACCGGTTTATCTTGAATCCCAAATCGAGGAAA